TGACTTACGTGTTGGAAGTTACCATGAGGGCACCGATTTCTGCGAATGCCGGAAAAAAAGTCATAAGAAAAAAAGTCCCCGGAAAAAATGTATTAACACTCAATTCACTAATTAAGTTTTACATGTTATAATATTTATATGTTATAGGTACTGATATCATTATAATATATTATAAATTACAAAAATTACACATTACAAATTTAATTACTAATTAAGTTTTACATGTTTTAATATTTATATGTTATAGGTAAGTACTGATATCATTATATATTATAAATTACAAAAATTACACATTACAAATTTAATTACACTCAATTTTCTATTTACATTCTTTTTGTTTTGTATACATATAACCGTTTAAAACAACTTTTTCGTTATTTTTATTCGATTTTAATAATTCCATTATTGATCACTTAGCACTAAACGAACTACATGTAACAACTAACAACGAACACAGACTAATAACATAAAAACAGTAAACATATCAATATTTTCAATTTTATCGATCAAAAAACATTATATTATGTTATTTTTATAATCGTAAGATACCATTTGTACAGATAAGTGATAAGATTTTTCGCAGATGCTAGTGATCAGTAATAGTTACTATCTCTTTAAAGGTTAGATATGTCGAGTGGAGTTGAGTAACTATATTTTACTACTTAATATAGTATTAAGAACTATTTCACTACTAAATGTATTATTAATAAGGATATAGGTCAAGGTAACGGCAACCGGATACTTATTTTCTGCCTACCGGTAAATATTTGTTAGGGTCTCATATTTGTACAATTTAATACCAGGGCTGAAGTCAGGGGGGCCTCAAAATATAACATAGACGAGGGCCTACAGGAAAATATCGATTTCCCGGAGGGCCCATCCTCCCATGACCAGATAATATACTAAATTTATTCGTATACGATTTCTAACCCAACTACCGTGGTGACGTCGTGTTGAGTGAGTCACCTATGCTTAGACGCATTTAATAAGTGATTAACGTATATATCATATATATACGCGTATATTGTATTAAACAGGCACGGCGCTAATTTTTTTTTAAAAAAACGATAGTTACAATACGATAGTTACAATTTCAACAAACTATATTTTGTCATTTGTAAAAAAAGAATACATATTTAAATGGTTTATTATTGTATTTAGTAAATATTAAGGACTAATAATTATTGAATGTAAAGAGGTTACGTTAGGTTACATAATATAATCATTTTAATTTAAATTTATGATAAAAAAGTTAATAGTAGCATAACCATACGGTCATATAAAGGTGTGTCATAAAATTAAAAATTAAACGGTATACTTTGTAGTCGTTTAAACTTTTGAAGTCTGTGTTAAACATTTCTTTTTTTTTTATTAAAAAATAATAGGTAATTTCTTATTAACTTTTCCAATCTTAGATAAGAACTTCCAACTACAAAATAGTTTGAAAATGTCATGATTAAGACGAATTTTGTCAAATATTTTAAATCAGACACATCAAAACATTTTTCTACTATAAAAATATTAGCTAAAATAATGAATGGATATATTTAAATACAATTTTAAAATTATTTTTACAAGATTGCGCGAGACGTTGTATTGGTGCCCGGTCGTTGTGGGTTATAATAATAATATGTATAATGTGTATAAAATGAATTAATATTTGTATAAAATTAAAGTCTAACAATGCACGCTAAAATGGAATATGCGATTTTGTAACTACTGCAACAATAATATAATATATCGTACACTGCGGACTTGTACTATAGAGTACAGAGAATAACTATGTATTCAATAATTTGGTATATTTACCTATTTACTGGTTATAGGTAACTAATCATAATAGTTAATTCTATCACGTGCGAGAAGTTGCCCCCCCCCCACCCAACTTAAACCCAGGAACATCAAACAACGTTAGAATAATTGCTACTTATTTGCTAGAATTTGATATGGAGTTTTAAGAATTCGCATGGTTTCGGTTTCTCAAGAAAAAAAATGTTTACTGGGGGGATTAACTTCACCATTCACCCTCACACTAATTAAGAATATTTATTATTAATTTTGATTTTTTTTATTAATTTACATTTTTAATTATTAAAGAATTTTTATAATTACATTTTTTTATTAAATTACGTTTATTTATTAATATACCATTTTTTTTATTAATTTAGGGATTATTTTTTATTCAATTTAGATTTTTATATAAATTCGATTTTGTATTACTTTTATATTTTATATTTTTATATTATTTCAGGTTTTTTTTTAATTTAGAAATTTTTTATTCGTTTTGATTTTTTATTAATTTATACATTTTTCTAATATTCTTTTTTCAATTAAATTTATATTTTATATTTAACTTTTCTAGATTTATTCAGTTTATTTTTATTAATGTTGAATTTTTTTTCCTAATTTATGTTAATTTATTAATAATATTAAATTTTTTATTAATTTAAGAATTTTATTAATTTATGCTTCTTATTAATATTATATATTCAATTATATTGTATAATTAATTTTTTTCCTGAACTGTTCCATTTTTTTTATTAATATTAATTTTATTTATTTATTTAGATTCATTTATTAATATCACATTTTTTTATTAATTTATCGTTTTTATTTAACCAAGTATATTTTTTATTCAAAATACATTCATTTTTACACTTTACAAATTCATGGGTTCGATGCAGCTACACGTACACTATATACATTACATATATACCGTACCCGGCTCTGTAAAACCTGTCGTGTATTTCTGAATTCTGACGATTTTTCCAAATTCAGTTCCTCATTGTCCCACACCCTTGACAAAATTTACGAAGGAATACACTGGTATCTGCCTCGCTCGAAATCCAAGGTCAAATTCCTTTATTCTATACACTGTGGACACAACACAATAGACAAACACAAACATATAAGAAACACGAAAACACAAACCGTCGTATTTCCAGTGCAACGATTCGGTACATTATATAATATAATAATATGTTTTTTTATCAGATCGGCGGTGAATGCATTAACTCGAAATTAGATATGTTACAAAATATTAAAAAATTTCATCTATGAAAATGTCGCAATAATTTACCATAGGGACAATAGAAACTATTTATCCGTTGTGATTATTACCAATCAACACATATTTATAGACAATAATAATACAATTAGTAGGTATACAATAGTAGGTTCGTTTTTTTATTTAGGTTTATGACAAAATTAATAATAATAAAACTAAATACTTATCTATTGCGTAATGAGAATATTTTTATATATATTGAAATGTATTTATCAGATATAAGCTGTTCCAACTTTCAACGCTATAAGATATTTGAAATTTAGAACAAATACAACACCAAATAATATATACTAAATAATATACTATGATGAACAGTAATGCATTTGTATGTCTATTTGTTACTATGATTGGCGGGTGGGTAGAACAGTTATCAGCTGTAAGGGGGGGGGGGGTGATAGTGCAGTTCCACCAATATTTTTGTCGTTCGTCCGATGCTCCCGTGATGATAACTATCCCGTTGACCACCGATGTTAGTCTACCAGCGACTGTACTTCAGCGCGACACCGCTAACACCAGACACTAGTCCGAAATATCAAATTAAAAGGTACGCAGAGCGAGTGGTTAAATTATCTCAATCATTGGATAAGGAACTTTGGCTCATAACAATACAATAAACACTGGTTCAATCGCATTATAGATGTCAAAAGGATAAGAATCTGTTAATTATTCAAAATAAACAATTTTAGTAAGTACCTACCTAAAGATTATTTACTAAAAAAATAACTGAAATTATTAGGTTCTTACACATAAGTTATAACGACACTTTTTGACCGTCAGGTTAAAAGATTTGCATATTATCGTTTCAATTTTATTCATCTCCGTAATATGTTTACTAAAACGCGCTCGAGCATATATTGTGTTATAATGGTTGATAAATAGTGAGCCACCGGAATTAAAATTAATCTTTGTACGTAGCCACATTAGAGATGACGGTATTTTCGGTATTTTATAATAAATGCAGAATACCATGAATCAGTAATTACCGTATACCTACAATTATTATTTGCAAATCTATACAATTTACAATTATAATAAGAGTCTACTGGACAAAATAATACTAGTTGGACCTCTCTTTCTCACAACAATTTGACCGATAACAATGGCTCGTCTCAACACAAAGAATATGTGCATGACTCACCAGTGCAGCCAACTGTGTTTTTAATTGCTTACAATTTATCTTGCAAATGAAAGGCGGGCTGCTAGAATAAATGCAATGTGCATTTATGTGCATCGTACGACGTCAGTCTAATAATCACGAACTACATGTAGTAGCTTGTGCTAATAATATTATAGATAATGATTGTTTTTTAAGCTCTTTGACATCGTTCGTAGGTACATAATACGTTTCTACATAGAAATTAATTTTGCTATAATCTGTTGCGCGTTAGTTATGAGTAGGGTTCGGATTTGAAGGCAAAAGCCTTTTTTTTAATAATCATAATTGACAAACAATTTTTATACAAAAATCATTTAATTTCTAAGACGATAGATCGATTTTTTTTCCTTTATTACTTATAAATGCCTTTTTGCTTTTTTTTGGAGCTTTACTTAAATGCCTTTTTTCATTTTCAATTGATTTAATAATTTTATACACAGCTTAAATATTTACACAGAGATCTGGTTTTTGCTTTAAATACTATTTAACCAGTAATACAGTAGATACCGCTATAATAATATTCGAAATTACACCAACACTAAGCCACAGCCTGCACACAAGCACACTTAACTAGTTGTTATTTTAAATCAAAAAGATATATATTATTTTGATATGTTCAGTAGCTAAAAGTTTTCATCTAGTGCTGAGATTCACTTTTGAAGTGTAAATATATACATTAATGCAATCAATATTACAACTCTAAAAATTGTTGAATTAATAAAGTTACAGTTTTAGTTAATATTTAATTATTTTCTAATGTGATTACAGTTGATAAAAATGATCAGAATGAGTACTTCGATAGTTGTAATACGATTGTTGATTTGCGCGGTGATATTCATACCAACATGTTGCACACGCTATGATTGGCACTTAAATCTTAAGACTTCCGAATTAGACCTAGCAATCAAAACAGCCATTGACAAAATTGAAAGCAGATATCGTTCAGAGGATATTATATTATCGAATGTTAGTCGTTCGATAACCGGAAGCCCGGCTCATGGACAACTGATCAATTCTATGCCTTCCAAAAACGGACATTCGGCATCTCGAACTGCTGAAATTTTAATTGAAGCTTCATCACATTTGATTGATAGGTATTCACAGTCTACTATATATAAGCATTTAATTAATATTTCAATGACAATAAAATATACATGATTTATTATAATTATAGATATGCATACATTTATTAAATTATCATTTCAGAAGCAGGAATGGGTATGTTTATATACCTGATAGACAATCTGCAATAGATTTAAGCATAGTGAATCTGACTGGGACAATATTCGGTGAGATGTGTAGGTCCGAGTATAACAACAGAAATTTGTGCACCGGGAAGGACTTAAATTATCGTAGTGCTGATGGGTCTTGTAACAACCTGGAACGTAATTATTTGGGAAAGGCAAACACGGCTTATAAACGTTTGCTCTTTCCAGAGTACACAAATGGTAATATTTCTTAATTTTATGTGACGCAAATCACTCGTAACCTATGTGTATATATTTATTTCTTATTAAAAACATTAAGATATTCATAGCACTCTTTCAATTATCACGTAATTTCTGATAAATATTTAAATTATGTATTTTAAATTTTAATTTTAATTCCTCTAATGCTTTGATTTCATGAATCGATCATTTAGGTATTTCCGAAATGCCAAATTTTTACGAAAATAAGCTGCCTGGTCCTAGATTAGTGAGCACAAATTTTGTAAAAGACGAGGACTCACCTGACCTCACAAAAACTATGATGATGGCGTACTGGACGATGTTCATAGGCCACGATCTATCACACACTGTGGTTTCTACAATGGGTATGCACATTCAGCACACGGCAGTATATAAATTGATTGATTTTAATTAATGCAAGCGTACGTATATTAAATCCAAAGGGACAGACCATAGATTTGAGAGTTGTTGTGATAAGGACAAAAATATTCAACATACTTTGATGAAACACTTAAAGTTATGCAAGCCCATATATACACCAATTGAAGAGTGCATGAACTACGTCCGTTCGCGGCCTGCGATGCGTACTAATTGTACATTTGGACCCATGGAACAAGTAACAGTCATATTAAATAATAAAATATTGAAAAAATTATATTACCTATATATTTATTAAAGTAAAAATAATAACAATCGAATAATCCATTTTGAGGGAAAAAGGGCTCTGATGGTGGCTTGTATTGGCCAACTTTATATAAAAACGTTCACAGAAAATCGGGTATGTTAAATAATTCATTGCACATTTCGTTCGTTTGGATAATTTAATACGTTTTATTTGTATATGTTGGTGATAATAATTTAAGAAAGCGGGTAAGTGGACGTCGCTCTGCTGTACAGTAGGTTACAAGTTTTTCACTGTATAATGGATTGTATTTAATTTGAATTCAATGATATCATATCATTGTGTACGAAAAACGATTCTGAACGGAGATTGTTTTCCAGTATGGATTATTTATATTGTTATTATCAAGCCTTTAACTGAGTTCAGTCAAGTTAACGGAAACCATTTTAAAAAGTTTAAAGTTACAGTTAACCTATTTATTTTTTTAACTCAGTTAAGGTAAAAGTTATATGAAATGTTCAATTAACTTATGAACTTAAGTTAATTTTAAGTTTATTATTTTTTTTTTTTATAATCTATATAATACCCAGTAATATGGTTTAAAATAATAAAATCATAAATATTCTTGAACACAGCAAATAGCCAATAGCTTTTCTATACAAATGTACTGAATTAATAGAATTATGTAGTAGGTAACAAAAGCATACAAAATTGAAAATGCCGAAACAAATACAATCTTTTAATGATTATAATAAGTAAGTATTATTGGAGACTAGCTTAATATGACATACCACTATTTAATTTAAAAAAAAATTGAAGGAAATAATGTTAGTTGGGTAACACATGAAACATATTTGTATTTATATTATATATATATTTCTGAAGTCTTATTGTACATTTAATACAAATAAATAATTTCAATTCACTTTTTTTTTAAAGTATTTAATATGCCAGTTTACCCGGAGAGTCAGGTAAAATTACATACACCATATTTGTTTTATAAAACAATTGCAGTATATCTTGATTTTTTTATGTTCAACTTCGAATTAAAAAAATTCAAGGAACATAAGGTTTAATATTTTAAAAATGATTAAAAATAATGTTGATACGACAAAAAACACATCAAATTCTCTGATAAGGTCAAAACCGGTGGTCACTGTATAAAATTGTATGTAGGAGGTTATAATATGTAACGTATTGAAAGCGGATTTGGTTTCTTAAATATCAATAATTCTAATCAAAACATCAAAGTGTCATATTACACTAATAATGTTAAGCCAGCCTGCCCTACATATTGCACAGACCAAGTCTCCAGTTAGTTTAGACTGAATGTATTGAGAGAATTAAAAATTAAAAATTCTATAATTTAATCAAGAAAAATAAAAATAAACGTATTTCACTGGACACATAATGGTTACACAAAAACTGTAATACGGTATTGTAAATCTTGAGTTCTTAGAGAGCCGAGGAAAAAAAGTTTATAAATATAAACATATGAAATATACATGTGCATAACCCAATTAGTTTTAATTTAAAAATATACTATTTTAGATTTTTAACGCGTTTATCCCCAGGCTTGGTTATTAATTATTATATTTTATTATATTCTGTAAGTCGAATTAATATTATAAATTACAACAAAATAACTAAAATCATCATTTTTATTTTTATTTTTATTCATTTCTATGGTGATAAACACAAAGTGTTAGAAATTAATATCCCATTTTTAGCGTTTATTTAAAGTTTATGGGTGTGGCTTTTCCTGTATCATTAAATAAGATATTGAGAAAATCGAAAAAAGACCTCTTTAAAGTACCATCTTGATCCAATTTTCTAAAAGAATTATATTTCCAGCATTTCAGTCTTTTTTACAGGGGCGTACTCAGGAATTTTCAATGGGGGGGGGGAGGTTTGTTGAACATTTTGTTTTTTATCACGGGGACCTTGTCACCTCCTTTTTAAAAATACTAAATATAAACATGGTAATGTACTCTACAGAAAATAAATTTCAAAAATGAAATGACAAAATGACAATTGCCTCATGACAAAAAAAATTAAGAAGTACTGTACTAGATTATAGTGTAAAATATCTAAATATAATAAATATAACTAGCTTTCCCGGTAAAAGATCATGTTTTTAATGTTTATTGAGAGAATTAAAAATTAAAAATTCTATAATTTAATAATTTAATCAAAAAAAATAAAAATAAACGTATTTCACTGGACACATAATGGTTACACAAAAACTGAAATACGTTATTGTAAATCTTGAGTTCTGAGAGAGCCGAGAACGAAAAGTTTATAAATATAAACATTTGAAATATACATGTGCATAACCCAATTAGACCTATTTAAAGTACCATCTTGGTCCAATTTTCTAAAAGATTAATATTGCCAGCATTTCAGTCTTTTGTACAGCAAATGCTGTGAATTCGCAAGAACCACAGAATCTAATAGAATATTTAAAAATTCGTGTCACTATTAAAGACGTATTTATATTTCACAGATGAACCAAGCTACCCATTATTTAGACGCATCGATGATATACGGTACGTCGGAACAACAGACATTGTCGTTGAGACAAATGTCGTCCGGCCAACTTTTGGTAGAAAAAAAATTTTATCACCTTCCTAGTACTGATCTTTTGCCGCTGGAAACCACCGATACGAACTTTTGTCAGAACGGCCCAGGCACGTGCTATAGGGCTGGTGACATTCGAGCAAACGCATATCCACAACTGACTGCCGTGTACACAATGTGGGTAAGGGAACACAACCGGATAGCCCTAGAAGTGCATAAAGAAAATCCCTTCTGGAGTGACGAAGAAATTTTCCGGGAGGCCAAGAAAATCGTGACTGCTTTCATACAGCACATCACTTACAACGAATGGCTGCCGGCACTGCTTGGCGTAAACTACACCAAGGAAAACGGTTTAGGACTGGGACAAAGAACCGTGTATGACGTGACCGCCGATCCGACCGTTAGCAACAGCTTCGCGACCGCGATACTGCCTTTCGCCAATTCCATGATTGGCGATAATATTAGGTTCGGACATATACCACATATAATATTATTAGTGTCATTATTATAATTTTCGTGAATTCGGGTAGGTCATTTCATGGTATCAATTCTTAAAATAGACAACAGTCGTACTTCAAAAATATTACTATTCAAATTTAAGATAAACATCTATTACTGCCCTCCTGGCTAACAAAATATATTATAATATGTCATTAATCATAAAATAAGGCAAAATGTAATTTATAGAATACCATGAAACCAAATAATCGTGAAACGTAATACTTTAAAGTCCACTTATTTAAAAGTTATGTTATCTTTATAGGGACATTTATGTAGTATACAAGGACTTTATAACTGATTATATTAAGTATATTCCGTATTCAGGCCATTACCTGCTCGCATAAATTATTACTTATTGTTAATAAATTTAATAGGTGGTATTAACACTATTCTAAATAACGATAAACGCAAAACTTGTATAGGTATCGTTTTAATTCTGAATAACAATATAGGTATGCACAAATTTGATTATTTTAATTGTAAATAACATAAAACGACATTTTTTTTCAAATTTGACCTCTAGTTTAGATAGTTAGGTAGGTACTTATATGGTTCCAATAAATACCTAATATTTCATTAATATCTTCGATAATATAATTGAATTAAGATGAAAAATAATATACAATTTTATAATATAAGAATTATAGTTTGAAATAAATAAAATAATAAAGTTGTATTTTGTTATACGTAAGACGCTAACTATAATTTTTGTGCATCTATTTGTTTAGTTTCTGGACAATACTTGACGAAAGATATCAAAATCCAACAATTGAAATGAGTGAAGTTGCTAAATTAAAGGAAAATTACAATAAACCACTCAAATGTATGGAAGATTCGAGTTATATGCTAATAGGATTAATTGTGCAAGCTACACAAAAAGTCGATATGCTGTTTACTGAATCGGTAATTTAAGATTATTGACAATATTACGTACATTCTGTTTTTTTAAATATTTTTTATAGATTACAAATTACCTATATGTTATGGACCCAAATTATTATTCGTTTGGCATGGACATCGTCAGTTTGGATATACAGCGAAGCCGCGATCACGGTATTCCAAGCTACACACAATTTAGAAAATACTGTGGACTTAAAGACATATTAAATGTGCAAGATTTGTCTGAGATCATGGTGGAAGGTGTAAGTTTGAAAAAAAAACTTAAAATATTTAAATCATAATATAATTATAATTTACTGATTATTTTATTTCTGCATGTTGCTTTTAGTCAGCTGATAAATTATTGAAGCTATACAAAACTTGGAACGATATAGATCTATTGGTTGGTGCATTGTTGGAGAAACACGTTGACGACGCAATGGTTGGCCCTACGATGAGGTGCCTCATCAGGGAACAATTTGTAAGAACTAGAATTGCAGATAGATATTTTTATGATGTACCAGGAGTATTCACTGATTGTTAGTTACCTAAATTATTTTTAATGAATGAACATAATTTGAACTAACCTATATTTTTAATTTAAGATCAACTGGAGAATATCAAGCGCGTGACGCTTTCCAGAGTTTTATGTGATAGCGGGGGCGGGTTAATCGACAGGATTCCACTACAAGCCTTTTCGAGACCGGCGGAATTTGGTAAATTTCTTCGTCGATGTGATAGCGAAATTCCGAAATTCAATTTTAGTGGTTGGTTCGATAAAACCAGAGACAATTTTTTTGGGATAAATAACTCTAAAAATTAATTATTGTACACATTTGAATATGAAAATGTATTTTGATAATATAGTTTTGATATGAATACGTTTATTTCATCATTCTTCTCTTTTTTTTTGTATTGACAACATAATTTAACATGCACTGGTTTACTAGATAATGATGTAACCATCATGCAGTATCATGCAGTATCATCCACTGACTATATTTTCTCAGTCACAACCATTACTTCCTGAAAAATCTCTTAAAATATTTTATAATATGATATATATAACTGTTATTTATTAATGTTGAAAAAACAATTATATAAGTTTCATAATTCTAAGTTTTATCCTTTTTTTAATTTAATAATGAATAAAAATTATATACTTATACTATTTTTGGGACATTTTTGGTATTTATTATGTAATATTTAATTATAAGTAGTGTTTGAAAATTTCATGAAATATTTCAGTATTTTAATATATTTTGTTTTATTTTTAAATAATTTTTATATTTACATATAACTGTCATAAATTACCTTCATCACTATATGGTACCTGTATGTATACCTAACCTTTGGTATTATACATTTAAATTGGTATTCAAAATGTTTAAATATTTTAATGTTTAAATGATACAAGTAGGTATACAATATTATACATGTATATTGTATAATTACTGAATTCTGACATTAGAATTTAGAACACTAAATATTGTGTTGAAAAAATAAATAAATTGTGTTTTTATTTGTGTTAAAAAAATTTCAATGTTTCACGTTTTTGTGAAATATTTCACAACTTAGTGAAATATTTAAAAATGAAATATTTCTCATACTTCAAACACTAATTATAAGTATTAATAATAAGTTAAATTCAAATATTTGTATAAATTATTATTTAAATTATAATTTTATACCGAGGTTTATTTGAAAACAAATGGATAATATTCTTACTTTATTAATAAATATTATTAAATATTATTTAACAAGAGTATTCTACTAAATTCTCAGTTCAACTAGTTACATAATGTTTTCAATTATGTATGAATTAAGTTTAATATAAAAATGAATATCATGTATAAATGTGAACCTACTAAAAATTAAAAAAATTAACTGAACATTAGAACAATAATTGCTCTAAAAATGCCAAAACTGATAAAAATTCAAAATAGAAGTTTATGATTTCAATTGTTTGATGTATGAAACTGATTTCGTGGTTACTTGAAAAGCATTGCCTGGGTCTTTCTAAAAAAGAATGCATTTTGCATTAAAATGTGGGATATATATATAATTATACGTAGGGATCAAAATTTCCGAAAAATTTCTTAAAAAATCCCTGGTTTTTTCCCGTTTTTTCAAAAATTTTTTAAAAATTGTTTTCATTTAAAATTTCCGGAAAAAATGGTTTTGACGAAAAATTTAAAAATTGAATGTAAAAATGGTTTTTTTTTCTTAAATACTAAAAAAGTAATATAGTGGAAACAGTCTAATAAATAATGAAATAATGATAGCTGATAATCATATTAAATACATATTATATATACCATACCTAAATTAAAGTCTGTAGTGGATAAATCTAGAGGCTTCTATACTTGATTTATAAATAATTATATTTTGTAATATTAACTACTAAAGTACTTACTATTAAGTATTTACTATGTAGTTATTACTTATTTCTTATTAGTTATTAATATTATTTAATATTTTTATAATATTTTATATTTAAATATATATTTTATTACCAACTCACTAAGTTTAAAAATATAAAACTACACACATAGAAATGTTGGTGTTAAAATCACTGATATTACAGTTACAATGGTCTGATAGTTAAAGTCAGTTTCCTAGGAGTTCAAGATAACTCTCTTAAAGTGCTAATCCAAAAACATTTATTATGACAATAATCAGAATTCATAATAAATATTGAGGAGTAGTGATATTGATATTTGTTTATGTAATTTAAACATTAATAGGAGTTATGTTAACAATAAACTTCTTTGAATCTAAATGATTAATATTACTTTAATTTAATTTATACTAAGTAAGTTATAATGATTAGATCGTGGGTCCTAGTGAACATGTAGGTAATGGTATTATTTTAACAGCATCAAACTACTACGGTAAAGCTTAACATAGTTTAAAAAACTATAATGAAAGTTTAAAAATGTACTAACTTATTGTTAAAATAAATAAATAATGAAAATTCAGACTATAGTAAGTGTTGTTTAGACATTTAAATAATTTACTATTAAGTGCAAAAACACTTATATTAACACCATATAAGATATTACTTTAAACACAGTATACCTGATTTAATATAAAAACAATAATATTGTATTTAACTACAAGAGTTGTATTTATGTCAACAATAGGTATCTTTAGTTTAAGATTCAGTGGTGTTAAATAAACATCAGTATTAGGGATTTTAAAATCATTGAAATAATTAATTTTAAAATTGTATAAAGTTTGTTTTTAGTACCAATATTCCTGTTCCTAAGCCACTTCAAACCCAACCCTACTCGACTTTCGCCAATGCGTAGATCTGCATTTGGGGGGGGGAGGTTTTTTGGGTGTTATTATTCACCAAAAAATTACTACTCATTAAAAATTCGGTGGGGGAGGGGGTAAGTACACTACTGCCTACATGAATCTGATTTTCTGTCCTAGACCATCTAAATAATATGCATATAATCATGATTTTAAGTCTTATATACAGAGAGAAGGATAACAGTTTTTGCTAATCCCCAAAAATAATCCTAGATAATATCTATTAGATATTATTAGATAGACCCAGCCCGGCCAGTCCCTCCACCAACATCAAATGTGGCGCCTCTGTATCAACACGGAAAAAAATATTAACTAAAAAGTTTTAGGTAGAAATATTATAGTTGTATCAACTATATTTTATTATTGGTTTACAAAATTTACCAAGTGCATACAATTTTTTAAATCGTATAATTCTTACCAAATTAACCTATTGTTTATTTGCTCATTAGGAAGTTTTTCAAGAAAATAATGTACAGCCACTTATTTTACCACCAGTAGACACAAATGGTAGGAATTTAAACTATATTATGTACCAACATTAAAAAATAGGTGGATTATATTATTTCTATATGATTTAATTTTTGTATATACGTCTAGAATCTGATAAATGCAAAAATATTCAGATTTCTGATATTGAAGTTTTTGAATTTGAAGATATTCCTACACCTGACAATCTTTATACTCAAGATTTATTTCAAGATGAAACATTATATAGACCTGGAACTTCTGCTATAATAGGTTAATATGTTTCACTAATATCACACCACTCTGTTTTATTTTGTTTATTGCATACGTTTTCAAGAATATTTTGTAATTTATTTTTTAGATAATGATATAACATCTGAGGTAAATGAGGAATTGAGATGTAAAAGTAGCTTTTAGACTGTAGAGGTATTTTTTTTTCATTACTCAATATAGTATTATAAATCATATTTTTTTAAAAGAATCAATTTATAAAACTAGGTATAGTTCTAAGTGGTTCTAACATACAACTTAGTTTTTGTATGTACATTTTAGGAATCAGCATCAAAAGACTATAATATCAAAAAAATACTTAATAATTATTCAGACGGTAATTTAGTTATTAAGTATTATGAATCAGTTGGCTCTTTAAACCAGTCAATGAGGAACACATTAGCCTCAGTTATCATAAAGCATGAAATTCAACACAACACAAAAATTGACAAAATTAAATTTTTATTTTTATCAAATGGTATACCTTAGTTAATTTTGGAATAATAAATCTAATTTACAATAATTATTTTTTTTAGTTACATATACTATAAATTCAATCAAAGTGTTTGGTTGGTTTAACTATAAAATATAGTTACAATTTTAGTTAGAATTAAATTTAGTTGAATTGACTATTAATATTTTAACCAAAATCAAATAGTATTTGCAACTAACAATATAGCTATACCATATGGAACTATATTTTACAGCTGAAGTACATATAATTGCAGTTGAACTAACTAATTTTTTTTTGCGTGAAATAGTTACTAGTCATCACTCACCACTCACCAGTCACTGTAATATAATTGATAAACATATCAGCCAGTAACTGCTGTAATACCTTATTAGTTATTACAAATATAAATAGACAATAAGTATATAATTTTCAAAATTTAAAAATACATGTGATTTATTTTCGGGAAAATTCACTCTTCTACATATACCTATACCAATTTGATATGAAACTACGTTATTTTTAGAACAAATATTGAAATATCCGTATTAATATTTTTAAATTTTAATAGTTTAATTTTAAATTTTAATGCAATAATACATTTTTCCGGCATTTTGATCCCTAGTTATACGTATTTACAGTTTAGTTGAGTCGAGTGGATCATGTTGGTCTACTACCAAGGTATTCTAAATAGCACATTTTCTAAATCGTCAACAACAATAATATTATACCAGCTGGATTAATTTGTACTAGCAACCAGCCTGTGGTACATAATATGCAGTAGCTATGTTTCCCAGTCCGCCTCTGCCTACTGGAGAGTTAAAAAAGTATACCGATTTGTTGTTATATTTTGTTGTTTATGGCCTTATGCCCTTATGGGTATCATTTACTCAGTATTTAATATATCATGGGTACACCCGGTGTTGTAAAGTACTTGAATAAAAGTACATGCATGTATACATCTACTCATATTACCTTAAAAAAGTTGTATCTGTTCTAAATAAGAGAATAAAATCAAAAAAACTTAAACTGTCTATAAAATATATCCATAAAAGTTAAAAAGTGTACAGAATTCCCTAAAAAAAAAGATAAATATATTAAGGTAAGAAAATAAATAAGAAAATTAAAAAAATATATACCATAATTATTCAATATAATTAAGAAAATGAGCCATTTTATGTTTTATTAGTCATTCAGTACCTATTTTATTATGTTTCATAGAAATATGAAAAAAACTTTGTGTTTTATGTTTAATAAAGAGTATTTCTGAATCACATAATAAAACTAAATAACTAATATGTCTTTAGAAATATAGG